AGCCCAGGTACAAGCCCGAGCCCCACAACCAGCCGGCCCCCACCCCGCGTCCCTGCCCCTCACCGCGCTCCCGCAGGAGGTCCCCAGCCGGGCCCAGGTAATGGGCCATAGCCGCGGCGGCGGCGGCGCCCCGAGGGCTGCGGGAGGCGAAGGCGAGACTCCCTCAGCGCCTCCCGGGCCTGCAGCCGCGCGAGCTCCGCCCTCGTAGTGCCTAGGAGACGAGCACCTCTCCCAGGAGCGAACCTGATTGGGCGGCCGGTATCACGTGCCAGGGGGGAGTACCGCTGTCACGTGCCGAGGGAGGTGGCTTTTCGACCGGGCTGAGGAATCACGTGCCGCGGTATTTTTCATAACCCGCAGGAGACTTGTTTGATTGGCTGAATTCCGACACGTGACGGGGCTGAGGCGGTCACGGCGGGGCCGAGAGGCGGCGGTGGCCCAGCACGTTTCCTCTAGCCCCAGGCTCCTTCCGGTCTAGGGCGGCCAAGGGCTCCCGCGTGTCTAGGGAGGCGGCACGAGGCACCCTGGGGGGCGGAACAGCAGGGGCTCGGCCGGCCCTGTAGCCAGAGCAGAGGGGACCTGGCCAGCGGCTCTGGAGCGGCCACGCTTTTCTCGGCCGCCTTCCTCACCCCGCCCCGTTCCATAGCGAAGGTAGGGGATGGAGGTGGCTGCCTCACCCCACACATGGTAACCGGCCGCACAGCCAGAACTGGACCCCAGGGCTCATATGACCGGGCAGGCGCTTGCTGCCCCCAGGAGGCCGCTAGTCCTGCTGTGATTTCATTTGTCTGGCCTGAAGGCGGGGCCCACCGCTCCCCGGCAGACAACTGGTCTATGTAAATAAAGGAAAGTATCCACCTGGGATGCCCCTGAAGGAGTTTGCTGACCTGATCTCGCTGCTGTCTCTCCACAGCTACCCTGTGTGTATGCCACTTACACCCACGTCAGCGTTAACGGAGCAAAACAGGGTAGAACTAAGGAAGGGCACTGCAGCTAGTATACACATTTCCCACACTTCCCTGCACTGCACCTGCCAGGGTAACATTGGAAATAAATATTTTGAATTAAGTATTCATGGAAATAAATACTCAAATTTGCAGTAACTACTAATCCCCCAACGCTAATTTCTTCTCATGCTGTGCCTGTATTAACTTCTCCATTTTTCCAGTCACTACTACATCATTGGCACTTGTTTTGCACAAAGAAATGTTAGCTCCATTGTTTCAGTCACACCTGAAGTTGGTATATGGAGAGTCTTCCTTGCTTTTTGTAATTATAGTATTCACTGCTGCTCAAATGTGAGTTTACTGGTGTATTTATACACATTACAACAATTCCTATATTAGACAATACACTATTGTGGTAGTATAGATCAACGTTCTGGACTTTTTCTGATATAAACTAGCCATCAGGAAGTTTAGACTTGAAATTAGATGAAGGTTTCTAACCATCAGAGTGAAGTTTTGGAATAGCCTTCCAAGGGGAACAGTGGAGGCAAAAGACATATCTGACTTCAAGCCTAAGCTTGATAAATTTATGGAAGGGATGGTATGGGGGGGGATAGCCTAATTTTGGCAATTAATTAGTCTTTGACTATTAGCGATAAATATGGCCTGTGATGGGACACTAGATAGGAAAGAATTCTCCCTAGTAACTCAGATCTCACCCTAGGTGTCTGGCTCGTGCGTCTTGCCCACGTGCTCAGGGTTTAGCTGATTGCCATATTTGGGGTCAGGAAGGAATTTTCCTCCAGGGCAGATTGGCAGAGGCCGTGGGGGGGGGGGGTG